CAGGCTTGGAACTTGTTCATGGGTGTGCTACACGGTCACATTCTGACCCTCGGGGGGCGCGAGGGCGCTCGGGGCGAGGGTCCAGGCCCCTCGTCGAGGTGCACCGAGTGCTGGGAGCGCGCCCTGGGTGCTCAGGCGGGCGACTCGACGCCGAGTGGGGGCGAGGCGGTGAGGGGTGAGTCTAAGCAGCGACGGGCGCGGAGAGGTGACGAGGCCGCCGTTGCTCAAGTCACGCTCTGCGCGCCCTCACCACCCCCCTGCAGCTCGATCGAGACCGCGCATCCTGTCGTGCGTGAGCTGATCACGCCCTGCGACCAAGTCGCGCAGAGCGAGAGGCTGTTGCGCGACAGCGAGAGCCGTCGAAAGTGAAGGAGGGAGAGAGGTCTCGACACCTCCCTCCGCTCGCTAGTTTGCACCTGCCCCACCTCGACCTCAGATCACCCCAGAACCACCTCGCCAAGCTCTCGTCGACGTGCGGCACACGCCCCACCATTGCTTTCGCGCGAGGAGCCCGTATCCGCTCTCTCTTTCTCCCGCTCTCTCGCGTTTTGACCTTTGGACCGAGCCTGCATTGCCCCCTCTCGCCCCCTTGTTCCTCAGCCGAGGAACTTGCGGTACGCCGTCGTCGCGATACCGCTCAGGAGGCTCCCGCCGATGCCGCCCATCTGGCCCAGCATGCCCTGCGCCGCCATGCCCGTCGCCCACCGCCGCTTGGCGTCGCGGTCCTGCGAGCGGCGAATGGCGAGAGTCAGTGAGACGTTCCTCTGCCGCGAGAGGGTCGCCGAGTCAGGAGAGAGAGGACGTACCGCTGTAGAAGGAAAGCCGAGACGAGGAGGGAGGACGAGGTCGAGGCGCGTTCGGGAAAGGTGCGTTCGAGGAGCAAGGCGAGGGCAGAACGTCAGGGCATTCGTCGAGACGGACACGAGAGAGAGAGAGAGACCGGGCGCACCGTACGTGTAGCCGATCGTGTTGGTGACGTTGAAGACGAGGGCGAGCATGACGATGGGGAGGAACGAGATGTTGAACTTGAGGAGGCCGACGAACAGGAGCAGGATCCACGCCGCCGGGAACTGCGCGAGGAGGTGCTCGAGTCAACACATGCGGTCGGCAGGACAGCGTAGAGTCGAGACGAGCCGGCTTGGGCGCCCGGCACGCTCGACGCATGGTCCGCCTCTCTCGCACGTAGCGAAGCGAGACGCACCGAGTACATGGCGATCCAGAACATCTTGGCGTCGACCGCGTTTGCCGGCTGCTCGGGCTGTACGTTTCGCCACCAATCTCACATAGTCAGCTCGACGAAGAATGCGCCGCACGAGCAGACGAAGGGAGAGGGCGGCAGGACGCACACTGCGGCTCTCAAACACCCAGAACGACGTGCCGTCGTCGTCGACCTGGTTCCAGAAGCGCAGGCCGACGAGGACCCGGCCCGACACGTTGCGCACCGTCCAGAAGTCGAGCGAGAGGAGGACGACGACGAGGACCGTCTGTGCGCGGGCGCGGTGTCAGTGCCTTGGTGCCGGAGGAGGTAGGGGAAAGAGGGACGCACCGAGAAGACGTAGGACGACACGAAGAAGCCGCAGAGGAGGTAGGTGGCAATGGCGGCGCACCGGAACGCGTACAGGAAGAAGAGGGCGACCGGGTGGGCCGACTGGCTCCAGATGCTGTCGCCGGCGGCGTCGGTCGAGCTGATGCCGTTGGTGACGGGGACGCTGCCGCGCTGCTCGGGCGGTGCGCTCGAGGTGGTGTAGGTCGGGAGGAGCGGTTGCTGGGACGCGGGCTTGTTGGAGCGGGCGCGACCCTCCTCGGCGGCCGACTCGTCGTCGGCCGTGATGTTGCCCTCGAGGGATCCGAGGAGGTTGGAGCTGGACGTGTGCGGGTTGTAGCTCATGCTGGACGGTGGGCGGGCTCGAGGTGGGGTGACGGGGAGGGGCGGGTGGGAGAGGCGAGGGCGCTGGCGGACGACGAGGTGCGCGCGTGTGCTCGAGGCTAGAGCTTGGTGTGGCTGATTGGGCGCGTCTCGAGGCGGATCAGGCTCGAGGGTGCGAGTGGGAGCGGGTCGAGGTGAGCGCGACTTGGTCCTGCGAAACCGCGGAGGTCCGCCTCGATTCGCTCGCCTCTGGGGGGAGCTACCTGCGCGACAGAGCTATGCATTACACTTCGTAGACCGCTCCCACCTCGCAGGAAACGCACCTGAGCGAGTCGCGTTCTCATCTCTGTCCTCCTCGATCAACGCCGCGGCCGCGAGAGAGCTCGCTTCCCCTGCTCTCGGCAACAGCGCTCTCTCGCCCCTTGAGAGCCATGCTGCGCACCGCACCCACCCTGCGGCCTCTGCTCAAGAGCGCAGCCGTCGCATCCACCTCACGAGCCATCGCGGCCGACCCTCGCCGCTCGTTCGCCTCGCGGCCGCAAGCTTCCTGGGACGACGACGCCGACGCTCGCCGCCCTACCTCGAGGGTCAGGGACGGCCGCATCGTACCGCACTACGCCCGTGGCGACCGCGACCACCCGTCGTCGTCGTCGTCGTCGTCGTCCTGGTCGGCCCCTCGCCGCGAGTCGGGCGACCCTGCTCGAGCCAAGCCAAGGCGGCCCAAGCAGCAGAAGGACATCGTGCACCCGCAGCCGTCGCCCGAGGACCTCGAGCGGTACCACAAGACCCGCGTTCTGCGCGCCGAGCGCCTCGAGCGCAAGGACCTCACGGCCCAGCTCACCGAGACCAAGACCTGTCCGTCCCTCTCTCTCTCTCTCTCTCTCCCACGGACCTCTCACAAGCGCCAGCTAACCTCTCCCACTCGCGCGCAGACATGGGCGGCTTCACGCAGCCGCGGCACCTCCAGTTCCTGACGACCCTCGACCCGACGCGCAAGCCCAAGGACTCGCGCGACGTGCGCGTCGGCCCGAACCGCATCCGCCCCGCCGCCGAGGCGTACGAGCCGCACGTCGTCTACCTCGCCGTGACGCGGTACCCAGTACGGTGGGGCCACGGCCGCCAGACGCGCCGCGAGTGCTTCTCGGGCTACTGCCGCGAGAGCGAGCTCGAGGATCGGTTCCGCGCCCTCAACTACGGCACGTGGAAGGAGGAAAAGACCGAGCTCGTCAAGCTGCGCCACGGCCAACCGCGGCAACCTGTCGTGACGCCGGCCCACTGGGCGTGCCTCGGCGACAGCAAGGAGTACCTCGACCAGGCCGTATTTCCCGGCTCGCCCGAGGACCGGTCCCTCCTCAACCGCCCGGCGAGCAAGCTCCTCCACGCGCTCCTCAAGGAGCGCGCCCGCACGCTGCGCGCCGCCGACCTCGAGGCCGACGCGCCGTCCTCGAGCGCGCCCGCCGACGCCGTCTCGGCCCAGGGCCGCACCCTCGCCGAGCTCGACGCCCTCATCGCCTCGACGAGCGCGCGCCTCCTCCCTCCCGTCACCGACTACACACGCCCCGGGCCCCCTTACACCTCGCCGCCGCTCGTCGTCCCCCTCCTCACCGTCACGCTCCCGACCCGACCCCTCGCGGCGACGCTCGCGCGCCTGTCGAACGGCCACGCGCGCGGCCTGTCCTTCATAGCCTCGATCCCGAACGAGGACCGCAAGGACGGGCCCGCCCTGTTCCGCCGCCTGCTGCGCATGCGCGCCAACCGCATCCAGAGCGTCACGCGCGAGCTCATCCTCAAGCTCGACGGCTACGGCGGCGGCCTCATGGGCCTGCGCATGGGGCCCGAGGACAGGGGGCGCGGCATCGAGGGCGAGGGGCTCGGCGAGTCGACGACCGCGCCAGAGAGGGGGTGGGCCGAGGTGAGCTGGCTCGACGAGGCGAGCACGTGCTGGGAGGGCATCGCGCGCGACGAGTACCTCGCGAGCTGGGACGACGTCGAGGGCGCAAAGGCCGGGCCGAGGAGGCTCGACAACGCGAGGTGGGCGACGCCGCACCCGCTCGTGCCCGCCGCCGTCGGCGAGGACGCTCGGGCCTCGTCGGCCTCGGCAGGCGACGTCCTCGCCCGCATCGACACGGACGCGGCGGCACGGCAGGTCGAGGTGGACGAGGAGGCCGGGCTCGTCGTCGCTGAGGGCGAGGGCGCGGCTGAGAAGGCGGAGCCGGTCGCTGCGGTCGAGTCGAGCGAGGTCCAGCAGGCGACGTCGGTCTAGTTCCTCCTCGCGCTCTCGGCGCGCCTCTCCAGAAGTCTCTCCTCTCCCTCCTGTTGATCCTGTAGCTCTCCCCCCCTCGCAACTCGCATCTCTCGCCCACCTTCTCCTCGTCCGTCGTCTCGAGAGCGACGAAAGCGCGCCCGATTGACTCGCACTGCAAGCTCGACGCCCCTCTCCTCGCCTGCCTGCTACATGACGCCGCACGCCTCGTCCCTCGCGCCCGACCCACGCGCCGGCCGCTTGAGCGCCATCCACACCTCGCTCTCGCCGACGTCGAGCGTCCCGAGCTCGCCCGAGAGCGACTCGAGCCGCTCGGCAAAGCGGGCCCACTCGCCGGCGCTCGTGCGGCCGTCAGGTACGCCGACGCGCCAGAGGAGGAGCTCGAGCGGCGGGTGCGCCGCGAGGAGCGCGTCGAGGAGGTCGGGCGGGTACGACGGCTCGGCGGGCGGGAGGGCGAAAGTCGTGGACGTGAGGCGAAGGGTGCGGAGAGAGGTGCAGTGGCGCAGGGCGGACGCGAGCGAGAGGGAGGGGAGGGACGAGGCGGCGTGGGTGCGCTGAGAGGGGTGCAGAGGTGCGAGGGGAGGAGAGGGGAGGTGCGTGCGCTCGGCAATGACGGCGTCGAGGGCGGCCGAGTCGGTGGCGAAGGCGCCGAGGGGCGAGGAGGGCGAGCTCGAGGCATCGCTGGATGCAATGCGGAACACGTGCTTGACGATGGGCACGTACGGCTGCCGGTCCCAGCCCTCCTGCGCCGTCGCCTTCGAGTTGACGTCGACGAGCTCGAGGTGACGCAGCGAGGCACCGCTGCGCTGCACGGCGAGGTAGATCGTCGACGGGATGACGCCGTGCACGTCGACGAGGCGGAGCGAGGTGAGGGCCGGCCGACCGAGGAACGTGAACAGGTCGAGGCAGAGGAACCGGGTGCGCAAGGGCTCTAGCTCGTCGTCGTGACTGTACTGGTCGGCCTCCGACCGCCAGAAGCGGAGCGGCGGCGGTGGCCTCGCACGAGCCGTCGCCGTCTGCGGGCGGGCGACGACGTGCTCGAGGTGCACGCGCTCGGGCCCCCACTCGCGCTCGCCCTCGTCCTGGCCGTCGCCGCTCGCGTCGCCCGCACTCGCAACGTCGAGCACGGCGAGCTGCAGCGACTCGAGCTCGACCGACACGAGCCGGCTCGGCGCGCCGACGAAGCCGCGGTGGCTCGCGTTGACCTGGACGACGCACGGGCCGCCGCAGAACGACGGGTCGACCGTGTCGCCGTGCTCGTACTCGGCGCCGACGATGTGCAGGTGCTCGAGAGTCGAGGTGGACGCGAGGATGGGCGCGAGCGGCGTGACGTAGTGCGAGAGAGGGTGGCTGAGGGTGAGCCGCTTCTGCGAGAGGCGGAAGAGGTCGGCGAGGTCGGGTCCGACGGCCGTCGCGTCGGCGCGAGGCGTGAACGGCCAGGTCTGGAAGACGCTGCCGACGACCTTGTCGCAGACCTGCTCCTTGAGCATCGGCCCGCCGGGCAGGTCGGCCTCGCACTTGTCGGCCGGGGGCGCCTCGATGACTCGACGCGCCCAGGCCCGCTGCTGCGCACGCCTGGCCGCCTCGAGTCGCTCGGGAGGTGCGTCCTCGCCTAGTTTGCGGTACAGGTCGTTGAGCCACGGCTGGCGCCGCACCGAGCGGCCGGCGCCGTCGTAGTACCACTCGAAGTTCTGTCGGTCCTCCTTGACGCCCTTCCACGCGACCAGGACCTGGAACGCCTCGGTCTCGGCGAGGATGGAGCGGTAGTCGGCGAGCGAGACGTCGAGGGTCGAGGGCGGCGGGAGGGACGACGCGCGCGAGAGGGCGAGGTACTCGTGGGCGCGGGTCGGGGTCGAGATCGAGACGGTGCGGAAGAGGCGGCGGCGGGCGACGGCGCCGACGACCGTGTCGACGAGGGCGAGGGAGCGCAGGTCGCGCAAGCTGAGCTCTGGATGTGCGCAGATGAGGTCGACGAGGTCCGGGTTGGACAGGACGGGATGGAAGTGCCGAGCTGGACGAGGACCAGAGGGCGCTGGCGTGTGCTGCGGCCCTTGATGTTGCTCTTGCGACAGCTGCTCGGTCCACAGCTGGCGGAACTCGGCGAGAGGTGCCAGCTCGTCGTCGTCGACGTCGTCGTCGTCGAGTTGGTCCGAGTCGAGGTCGAGGTCGCCGGTCCAGTCGCACGGGTCGTCGTCGTCCTCGAGCGGGTTCCAGGTATCGCTGTCGTCGTCGCTCATGGTGGTCGCGTGGCTGTGTGGGCGCGAGGCGAGGGTCAGCTCGGGTCGAGGTGGGGGGGGGGGAGCGTGCTTGGAGGGACGAGGGACGCACTGTTGAACGGGCGAGGTGGCGTGGGACAGTTGGATAGAGGACAGCAGTAGCTGTACAGGCAGCACGGCCCAGTCTGTGAGGTGCGAGAGCGAGTGCGAGCGTGCCGCCGGCAGAACCGGCTCCTCGTCCGAGTCGACCCCTCGCCTCGTCCCTCGCCTCGACTGTCGCCTCGATGAGCTCTGCAGAGCCAAAGCTGGCTACGGGACCGGCCGCACAAGCTGCGCCAGCCGCACTCCCGCTCGTCGCCGTTCTCCCCACCGTCGCCGCCGTCGGCTCGTCGACCTCATCAACCCTCGCCTCGCGCCCGATCCGATCTCCCGCCGACTATGCGTCCGACCAAGACGACGACGGCGGCGACGACGACGACCCCCACCTCGTCCACAAGCCCGCACCGATCCCGCCCTTTCGCGAGGGCCACCGCCCTCGCGATTCGGTTGCAGGCCTCCTCGACAACGCGCCGACCTCGTTCGCGCCCGAGCGACATCGGCGCGTGAGCGCGTACGACGGCGCAGACGGCGGCTTTGTCGAGCAGGCGCGCGCAGAGTGGACGAGGAGGACGGGCGCGGTGCGAGGCGTCGTGCGGCGAAACGAGGGTCCGTTCGCTCTCTCTTTCTTCCTTCCTCCTCACTTCGGCACGCTCACTTCTCCTGCGTGCGACACAGGCCTCCTTCTCATCGCGACGGCGCAGCTCGGCTTCTCGCTCATCAACATGTGCGTCAAGCTCCTCGAGCGAGACGTTCAAGTGCCCGTCTGGGAGGCAAGTCTCTCTCTTTCTCTGGAGTGCGTCGTCGCGCAGTTCAAGCCTTTCGTCCTGACTTGCTCGACTCGTGCAGCTCATCTTGATCCGCATGGCCATGACCTGGGTCGGCTGCTACACGTGTGCGTCCCCTTCCCCTCGGCCGCCGCTCTTCCCGAGACTGACTTTCTCTCGCGCTCGCAGACCTGCGCAGTACGGGCGACCCGAACCCGTTCCTCGGTCCGCCAGGAGTACGCCTGCTCCTTGCGCTACGAGGCTTCGTCGGCTTCTTCGGGTGCGTCTTGTGCCGCCGTTCCTCTCCCTTGCCGCGCCGCAGCTCTGATTCTTCCTTCCCGCACAGGCTGTACACCAACTACGCTGCCCTGCAGTACCTCGCCATGAGCGACGCCTCGACGCTCTTCTTCCTGTCGCCTATCCTCGTCGGCATCCTCGGCTGGGTCCTCCTGCGCGAGCCCTACTCGCGCCTCGAGGCCCTCGTCGGCCTCGCGTCCCTGTCCGGCACCGTCTTTATCGCCAAGCCGACGTTCCTCTTCCCGTCGCGGACCCTCACCGAGGACATCCCGGGCCACAAGGTGACGGCCGAGCAGCGCAGCTTTGCCATCTGCCTCGTCCTCGCCGGGTGCTTCACGTCGTCGCTCGTCGCCATCATCATTCGGTTCATCGGCACCCGTGCGAGCCCGTTGCACAGCATATCGTACTTCTGTATCTACTCGGTGCGTCCCGCTCGTCCCCTCGACCCGTCGCAAGGATCGGCGTACTGACGCACGTTCCTCTTCTTTCCCTCCCTCTCTTCCCCTCTCCCCCCTCATCCTCCTCGACTCTCCTCGCCTCCTCCTTCTACCTCCCGAACATCGTCGACCACCAACAGGTCCTCGTCAGCGCCCTGTACCCGTTCGTTTTCGACGCGCCGCCCGTCTTCAGCCTCTCGCCGCGCTTCTTCGGCCTCCTCCTCCCGATCGGCGTCCTCGGGTTCGCCGCCCAGGCCTTGACGACACGCGGCCTCGTACTCGAAAAGGCCGGCCGAGGCGCCCTCGCGTCCTGTGCGTCGCCCCGTCCTTCCTCCTCTTTCCCTCCTCTCCTCCTCGCACGCGCACGGTGACTGACCTCGCCGGTCCGCCTCCCCTCGCACAGATTCCGGCCTCCTGTTCACCCTCGCGATCGAGCGCATCGCGTTCAACAAGACGCCCGACGCGTGGTCCCTCCTCGGCGCGCTCATCATCGTCCTCGGCGCCGCGCGCGTCGCCCTCGAGCGCAAGGGCGGCTCGGCGGCCGCATCGAGTGCGGGTGCGGGTGTGGGTGCGGGCGTCGACGCGGCGGCGGCAGGCGGCGAGGGGACGGAGCTCGCGAGGGCCCAGGTGAGCAGCGCGAGGGACGGGTACGAGCGGCTTGCGGCGGTCGAGCTCGGGCTGCAGAGGGGGCGCAGCAGGTCCAAGGCGGGAGGGGACGAGCTCGGGCTCGAGGAGGACGGGTGGGAGCGCGCGAGGGACCGAAAGGGGAGCGGTGGAGCTGGCGCGGCGAGGTGAGCCGGGAGGAGAGGAGCGAGCGCTGGCTCGAGCAGAGGCGGCGGCGGGCTCGGCCTTAGACCGTGGAGGATGGCGTGTTAGTATCTCTGTCCCTCTCGGTGTCGATCTGTAGATAGCTGTAGCCCTAGAAGCTGCATCCAGTCGTTCTCGTTCCCTCGACGCACGGGCCCGCGAGTTCCTCGAGCCAGCTCTCAACGCTCGAGAGCGCTCTCGCGAGCAGTGACGAGCGCGCACGACGAGGGAGAACACAAAGATGCATCAAGCGAAAAAGCTACGAACTAGAACAAGACGGCCAACCGCCGCCGTGGGTCCCTCGCTGCGCAAGCACGCTCCTGCTCGACCTTCTCAAGCTCGTCGAGGCCGACGAGGGTCGCCCGTCCCGCTCACATGACGCAGCAGTCGTCCCTGATGCTGGGATAGCCAGCCTCACTGTCGGACCCGTAGTCCTCGCGGTCCGAGTCCGAGTCGTCCCACCACATGCCCTCGCTCCCGAGCGGGCGCAGCACGCCCGCAGCGACCTCGGCGCGGTACAGGGCCCGCAGGAACGTGCGCGTGTACTCGACGTTGACGGTGACCGTGTGCTCGACGGGGTCTGGGCCCGACTTGGCGATGTGGTGGTACTGCGATGGGCGGGAAGGCGCCGTAGCCGAACGAGGTCAGGTTCCGCGCATCGTGCAGCTGCGCTTGTAAAGGCCGGAGAGAAAGGGGGCGGCGGGGGGGGGGGGGGGG